AAACAAATGGAGTTCACATCAACAGGTCTAGATAAACGAAGTTCAGACAAATGGAGCTCAGATAAACGGAGTTCGGACAAATGAAGGTCAGATAAACGGGTTTAGATAGACGGAGTTCTACTGTTAAAACAAATGGAGTTCAGATAAACGGAGTTCAGACAAATGGAGTTCACATCAATGGGTCTAGATAAACGAAGTTCAGACAAATGGAGTTCAGATAAACGGAATTCAGATAAACGAAATTCAGGCAAATGGAGTTCAGATAAATGGATTTAGATAAACGGAGTTCAAATAAACGAATTTCTTACAAATGGAGTTCAAATAAACGGAGTTCTACTGTTAAAACAAACCGAGTTCAGATAAACAGAGTTCAGACAAATGGAGTTCAGATGAACGGAGATCAAATAAACGGAATTCTACTGTTGAAACAAACGGAGTTCAGACAAATGGAGTTCAGATGAACGGGTTTAGATAAACGAATTTCATACAAATGGAGTTCAGATAAACGGAGATCAAATATACGGAGTTCAACTGTTAAAACAAACGAAGTTCAGACAAACGGAGTTCAGATGAACGGGTTTAGACAAACGGAGTTCAAATAAACGGAGTTCATACAAAGAGAGATCAAATTAAACAGAATTCACTTAAACACAGTTCTACCGTACTCCACGCAGCAATACAAAATTTAAGCCGGCCATTAAGTACCTGTCTATTCTCCGAACAATAACGTCACTCAACCCATCCTGGAGATCGCACCGTAGCAACGAACCTTTCCAATTTTCGCGAAAGACCAGAAACATATCGCTCGGCGGCCAAAAACGCGGTCGGATAAGAGGCCGCCGCAGTTCCTCTATCTATTAGCGAGCAGGCCGACAAGTGTCCTGCGAACAGTGGAATTAGTATTCCAACGAGTCGCCGGTATCGTTATCAGATCTCGTCGGTGCTCCGTAAACCGGCCACAGCCATTCGATGGTATCTCGGTCGTTCGAGGAAATCTTTAGCGTTCGCGGTTATACCTTGTTTTCTGGCGTAAAGTTTTACGATACGACGCGCGAAAACGCGCGGCCGGAGCCGCGGCGCGAGCGGATCCGACGCTAGGGTGTTTCCCGCGGCGGGAACGATTCGCGGGTCGTCGAACGTGTATCGGCCCGTGCCTGGCCCGACGACTCGCGGGGCACGTATCCGACGTTAAGAAGCGGAGCGCGAGTCGTGCATAATCCGATCCGCGGAAAGTTGGCTCTCGCGCGACCGCCGGCAGATATACTCCGGGAAAACGGAACGAAACGAGGCGGTTCGGCTCGGATCGAATTGGGTCGGGTCGGGTCGGGTCGGGTCGGGCCGGGTACCGTACAGGGGAAAGACCGGTCAATGACTCGGCGAATTCGGGCAACCGCCTCGAACGTTGAATTTTTAACAAAATCGAGACGCGGGGGGAGGCGCGAGACGATCGGAAACACGCCCCGGGGCTGAACTCGCTGACGAGGGTCCGACGTAAGCGCGACGACTCGGACTCCGTCGACGTAGGAGAGCAACGGACCCCCCGGTCGTGCTCCGACGTCGGAGGCTACGGCAACCGATTATCGATCCCCCGCGCGCGCTCTCTCATCCGCTCCCGCCGTGTAATTTTAACCGCGTTCAACGATGTTACGTTGTTTCATCATTGCATCATTACATGCTTCGATTAATCGCATTAGCCGAATGCGGCTTTAATACCGGCTACCAGGCATTTATCGTGCCGATGCGTTCCGATAGCGAGGCGCGTACGGTCAATGGTCGAGTGGATGCCGAAATACTCGGGCTTGTGGCCCATTACGCGATGGCTCCATTTGCCTCCGACCGACTCCACGACCTCTAAGGTATCGGCGAGCAACGCCGGGCCACGGTTAAAAATCTGATACCAGATTTCGGCCGATCGCCGATTAAACTTTTAGGCACGACGCGACACTATAGTGGCTTTCGCGGATGTCATCTCTCTGGACGACGCGCCACTATTAGTGGCTTGCTCTAGTAGCTTACTCGCTCATCGTTTGAACCAAATAATCGTCTTCATATGCATTGTTTCACACTTCTTTTGTCTTCGCGTCGATTTACAACAGTTTACAGAGTGTCGCAAAAATGTCTCGCAATCCGGAAATGGCGGGTTCCTCGAATCATTTGAAGCAACTTCTTCCTTTACAAAAATTTTCTCCGAGGCACCGTTAACGAGTTATTAACGAAAAATAGTGACCAATAAGAATCGAGTATGGCTGACGCGAGGCGGCCCAGCCAACCAGCACGCGACGCCCAGTTCCGCTCATTGGCTCGGTCGCCTTGCGCCAGCAAAGCTCGCCTCTCATTGGTCACTGTTTTTCGTTAATAACTCGTCAACGGTGCCTCGAAGAAAACTTTTGTAAAGGGAAAAGTTGCTTCGAATGGCCCGAGGAACCCGCCACTTTCGGATTGCGAGACACTTTTGGGACACTCTGTATATACAGACAGAATATACAGTATCAGACTCTGCCGTCCAGAGAAATAGCCTCGCGCAGAATTCAGCCGTACCTAAAAGGTTAAGTTTTCAGCGGGCGAGTCGCGTCGAACTGTCGTCTGGCGAAGCTGCGATGCGCGGTTAAAATTGTTTCAGCGTTGTTTCAAGGTTCGCGGTTGCGTTACAGTAGGTCGTTGAATTCGTCTCGACACCAGCTAGAATATTTATCGAGACGAAAGCATGTGTTAACAATTAAAATAATCAAGGCGGCCGAGCATTTCTCGGCAAGCTTTTATATTCGAATTTAGTAGGAAATCGGACACTGACCAACACTTTTTCGCCAGATCGTCGGGAATGTCTCGAAAAAAATCATGGTTTCAATTGGGATTGGACACGCGAGCGTCGAGCGCGCTCTCGACTACTCATCCGGTCGTCGAAATACGACTCGAGTTTTATTTTTCGAATGCCATAGTGTCGAGGGGGTGCGGGGAGATGCACTTGAAATTTATATCGGTGACGATTGAATCGGCTTTCGTATGAAACAAGTCTCATTTCGACAACTCCGAACAGTTTTTCCGCAAGTCTTCCGAAAGTACCGATTGTTATATATATATTGCAATGTTTATACGTATAATACAAAATAGGGACAATGCACGCTAATTTTCTTTGACCAGGTCTTATGACAAAAATTACTACCTTGGTGAATGTAATCTGTATCTGACTGTATCCTAATTGTATTATTATACCTGAACTTTTCTATCTTTTTTGTGTCCTTTTTATATTTTTTCTTGCAATTTTCTAACTAATGAGTAAATTCCCATACATATATTTAATAAATAGAGAAATAATCTAGTTGGTGTCTCCGTTGTTAGATATCGAAATCAGATGGGTAATCGATTGCAATCACGACGCAAAAATCTTCCATTATGCATTCTAATGGGTTTTCCCATTTACGAATACATAAATAAATAAATAAATAATGATCTGTATCACAGCTACGTCGATGATCACTTCATCGTGGCCAATAAATTCGTACACGATCAAGACATGTTGTATCCACTGTACGCCAACCCTTTCATCCTACAATGTTCTAACAATATCAGAATCTGCTCTTCCAGTAATTCTAAAAAAATCGTCGAAACATTGACCGACACCGGTGGATTGCGTTATAAAGCTTTAAAACGAATCCGTCGCTAAAGAACCGGCACTCTCGGCGAACACCACGAGCCGGAGATCCTTTCGGATTTCGAGGTGTCGCAGAGGTTGAGTGCCGCAGCGGAGAGGCGTTCTCCGGCGCGTCGCCTCACCTGTGGGAACGCGGCCACCTGGTGGAATCAACTTCATAACAAATAAATCGAAATCACCGAGGAATCCGAGAGGCCCGAACGAATATCCGTGATTTACGAGGAATCGAATGGCGCCGGATGGCGACGGCATTGACACGAAATAGCCGGCAGACGCAAAAAAAAAAAAAACGAGGGCGTGAACGGCGAATTTCGGTGGATTTCGCGCGGGGCGAACCGCCGCGCCGCGCGGTGTTACCTCGAAGAGGGTTAAATGAGAACGGTTGTGAACAGAAGCGGGGCGAGGAGAGAAAGAGAGAGACGGGGCGAGAGAAAGAGAGAGAGAGAGAGACGGGGCGAGAGGAAGAGAGAACGAAGCGCGAAAACGAGAAGCTTCTCGGAACGACTCCTTGCCGCGGAGCCCGGCACCTTCTCCCTCGCCTTCTCTCTCTCTCTCTCCCTCTCTCTCTCTCTCGTCGTGCTCGCTTTTTCTCTCTCCGCGCAGCCAGCGGAAAGAATACGAGAAATTGCGAGCAAAAATATCCGGCGAGCAGAGTTGGAATCGAATTAAAAAGCTGGCCGAGCCAATTAAGGCGTTTCGCGAAAGTTTAAGAGATTCTTCCCAGAAAAGGGTAAGCTCTCTCTCTGCCGGCGCACGGCCGGCCGTGCCGCGTTTTCTCCTTTTTTCTATTACGTCGCCTTCCGCCTGGTCGCCGAACTGGGCGCCATTAAGCTGTTCGCTCTTCCGTATAAATAGAAAGAGAAAAAGAGAACCGGCCGCCGGACCGGAATACGGAAGAAGAAAGACTTCGTTTAATTTCAACGAAATTTAGCTCGTTATCTTAGCCGCGTCGTTCGCGGGTCGCCGGGAAACTTCGATCGTTCTCTTTCTTTTTTATCGCGCGTCGGCCGCGTCGCGTCGACGGTCTCGCGTGTCGTGGCCGCGCCTCCGTCGTCGACGGGTTCTCTTTCCTCAACGGCAGGGTGACGAGCCCCCCCTTCCCCCCGTTCGACCCAACGAAAATCATTCACCGCGGCGCTCAAAATTCTCCGATCGAGTTATCTCGGCGACAGCTGTTGCCGCTTCGGCGAGCCTTCGTTAAATATTAACTTCCATGAGCACACCGTCGCCGGGTGCATGGATTACGCTAATAACCGGGCGGGCTCTACTCGGCCGCGTGCCGATCGAACCCGAAAACACGGACAGAGATAGAGAACAGGCGGGACGGGAATGATAGAAAATGTGCACCTACCGTCGTAGACTGTGAGATGCGCCTCGGCTGACACGGCGTCTCCGACTCCATTCTCGGCTAGACACTCGTACGTGTGGTTGTCGCGATTCGCTTTGACAGGTTCGATCCGCAACGAGGATCCGTTCTCATAGTTGAGCACGTGGTACCGTGACTGCGTCGCTGCGGAATAAACACGGAAGAGTTAGGCCACCTGGCAACCGTAAAAACGCCCGACGAACGTTGTTAGAACCCCGCGGGCGTATCGATTCGCCGAAAATATCACGCCGGCGTGGCGGCTCCTTCGCCGAGAAAATGGGATCCGTCTTGCTCGAGCGATTCCCGTTTGCTTCGCGAGCTTTCTTCTTCGTCCTGTCGTTGTTCGACGCGGTACCGGTGGTCGGTGAACCTCCAATTGCAATTGCATTTAATCATTGTAATTGAATTTAATTAAATTTAATTGAATTTAATTGCAATTTAATCTAATTTAATCTAATTTAATCGTAATTTATTTTGATTCAATTGTAATCGTAATTTGATACGCTTCGATACCGTTCGATTTACTTATACGTGCGGATGAACGACCACTTTTACGATGACAGAAACAAAAATACGGTAATGTCTCTCTAATCGACGCTCAGTTTGGAAAGAAAAATGGACAAATTGGGAAAAGAGGTACGATTATGCAAATTTTGCACCTCGTTTTTATGATTGTTGATGATCTGTCACTATAAAAACGAGCAGCAAGACTCGATCAATCGCGTCTCCTCTTCCCAAATTGTCCATTTTTGCGAACAATCCGAGCGTCAATTAGAGAGACATTACTGTAATTCTCCTAGCCGAATCAATACAGTAATGTCTCTTTAATTGACGCCCAGATTGACCACAAAAGTGGACAATTTGGGAACAAGAGATACGATTATTCGAGCCTTGCGGTTTATTTTTATAGTTATAAATTGTCCACAATTATAAAAACGAGCCGCAAAGCACGAATAATCGTATCTCCTCTTCCCAAATTATCCATTTTAGTGGACAATCTGAGCGTCAGTAAGGGAGACATTACTGTATACCTTTTTTCAGTGGCACATACACTTCGCATACAGTTCGAAAAATGAGCGATTTAGGTAATCAGTTTATAAAGATTCGTTTTTTAAAACTCTGCTACATTTGCGTCGCTGATGTATCGCTATGTATATTCATACACAAATATCTATACGTCATATTACGTTACTTCTTTCTTAGTTCTTTGTATCTCTTTTTACACGCCTCAATTTATACTGTACACTATGCGACAGGCGGTTTTTCTCGTTGACATCGATTTACTAATATTGCAACGTCTCCTTCGTGTCCTACACGTGTCTGGAGACAATGGTTCGAGCAAGACGAATCATTCTTGGCCAAATGCGAAGATGTCGATCCCGTAAAAGGACAAGTAAAAATGTATAATAACAAAAAACACGCGTCGCAAGTCACTATTTCAAGAAATGTAAGTGAACGCATCGATCGAATCGCAGCATATAGAATTTATGTATATGCAAAGTCAGGGTCATTTGAAGCAACTTTTTCCTCAGCGAAAATGTTCTACGAGGCTTCGTTCACGAGTTATTAACGAAAAACAGTGAGCAATGAGAGGCGAGCTAGATTGGCGCGAGGCGGCCGAGCCAACCAGCGGTCGAAGCCCAGTTCTGTTGGTTGGCTCGGCTGCCTCGCGCCAACCGAGCTCGTCTGTGATTGGTCAGTGTTTTTCATTAATAACTCGTAAACAAAGTCTCGTAGAACATTTTCGCTAAGGAAAAAGTTGCTTCAAATGATCTCAGGATCCCCTCATTTCCCGGAAATACCATAATTTTGGAACACCCTGTTATCAAACAAAAGAACATCGTGGAAACGAATTCTATGGACCAAAAAAATGCAATTTTTAATGTTGCTAACATGAGCATCGAGCGACGAATATTTCGGAAGTGAAAACACGTGACTTGCGATTCTCGCCTCTCTCTCTCTCTCTCTCTCTTTCTCTCTCTCGCTCTTCCGCTCGAAAATCGAGGAATAACGAACGAAATGAAGCGGGGCGGCACATCGAAACGCGCGAATCGAAGGCCTGATCTGTGAAACAGGAGAGGAGTCACGTCTCCGAGCCGTGTCTAAATTCTGGCGTATTTCCCGGACACGGTCGCGGCGTTGATAAAGGCTGTTCGAAGCCGGCGCGTACCGGCGGTATTTTATAAAGAGGTGCGAACGAACCCGATTCACCGGGATTCGCGGGCGTAAGCGTGGAACACGCTCGATCGACTTTGTTACGCGCCGTTGTTTCTCTCACGGCGGATTAGCGAATTTCGACGCGACGAACCGGTTGTTCGCGATCGGTGACAATCGCCGAGTCCCGGACAAAAGCGCGCTCCGCTTCGACGTTAACTGGGCAGGATGGCGATTTTTCGCGGTAGCTACGGTTTTCAACGGTTAATCGAGCCGCGCTGCCGGCCGGGCTCGGGCTCGGGCTCGGGCTCGCCAGTCCCCCGAATAAATTCCGTTGCCGGGTTCCACGGTTCGCGCGTCCGCCCGACGGAGCTTCGTCGCAGGCTCCCGCGATCCACGGTAAACTCGATTAATGGCGGGAGCCACGAGAGCGAGAGATTTCCGGCCGGGGCCCCGATCCGGCTCGAATTCACGCGCGCAAGATTTCATCCTTGAGCGGTCGCGGACGAACGGACGTATCAGTCGGCTGGAACCGGATATCGATTTACCGAATCGAGCGAGACCAACAGCGGCGGCGAACAAACACGCGACGCTCGGTGCACGCTCGAGGGAAGAGACGGTCCAGATAATCGAATATCTCTCGAGAGAATTGCGACGTCTGCTACGGCGAGAGAGAAAGAGAGAGAGCGCGCGCGACGTCTCGCGACGCGACGCCAAGCGATGCCAAGCGTCGCCGAGCGTCGAGACGATCCGGCCAGTTTCCGAAACTGTTAGGCCCCGGCGAGCCGCTCCGCTCGTACTCCCGGTGCCAGCCGGCGCGCCGTTTCCTTCCAGCTCGGGCGAGCGCGAAATTTACTTCGAAAGAAGGCGGCTAAGGATCGATACCTACCGCCGAACGCAAAACTACGGCCCCGAGAAGCTCGGTTCTCAACTTACACGCCTGTACCCGACGGCGGCTCGAGATTCAATTTCTCATTAACTCTCGTGAGAACGAAGCGTTGCTGCGAGAGAGATTCGACCAAACTGCGGTTTCTAGGGATTCGCGACAACGTCGAGCATGTTCAAGACCGTGATAATGAAACGAAGAATTTTTATGACGCGCTTAACCCTTTCGGTACGAGCGCGCTGTTCGCCGTGATAGCGCGCAAAGGGTTAAATTTACAGGAACTGCGTGCGCGCATCTTGAAACGCGATCGATCCTTTGGAAAACCGGTTCCACGCACCTTTCGGAATTTCTTTTACGAATTTCCGCGCGGATCGGACATTTTATTCTTCGTGCTTGATAGGAGAATCGGGCGAAATTTTATTCGGATGACGGATAAACGATAAATACCGCTAACGAATACGATTTCGTTCCAACACTATCGGATAAATACGCGATCTGATAAAAATTTATCTCGGTAGAAATTTATCCGAATAGGAATCCATTCGAATAAGAATTTATTCGCGCGGCAATCGACGTGGAAAAGAATTGATTTGAATAGAAACGATAGAACACGTAAAGTGCTTTTTTCTCCACGGTTTATCGATTTATTTCGTCCGCGTCACTTTTTCGAATTATTCGACTAAACAGATGGAATAATTAACGACGAATAAACGGATTGTCCGAATGAAATGCTCGACCGAAGCGAATTCGCTCGGATATTTATTAGCCGGCCGGAATTTCGCAGAAGTTATGACCGCGAAAGCCAGCGAAGTTCTTTCGAGCGTGTTGTCGTGTCGTGTCCGGCTCGTGAAAATTACCGAGAAAAGAAATAAACGCCCTTTAACCCTTTCTTTAAGAGCGCCGTCTATAGTCGGCGGCCGCGATGACGATCTTCGTATCGAGTGCTGACCACCTGCGCCGACTTTCGCCGGTTAATATTCATACAATATACTCATTTTCATGTTTTTCATATAATACGACGAAACAGTTGTTATACAGGGGTCTCGAAAATGTCTCGCAATCCAGAAATGGGAGGTTCCTGAGGTCATTCGAAGCAACTTTTTCCTTTGCGAAAATTTTCTCCGAGACTTCGTTCACGAGTTATTTACGAAAAACACTGACCAATAAGAGGCGAGCTCGGCTGGCGCGCGGCGGCCCAGCCAACGAGTGCACGGAGCCCAGTTCCGCCCATTGGCTCGGCCGCCTCGCGCCAAATGATCTCGCCTCTGATTGGTCACTGTTTTTCGTCAATAACTCGTAAACGAAGCTGCGGNATTTACAGGAACTGCGTGCGCGCATCTTGAAACGCGATCGATCCTTTGGAAAACCGGTTCCACGCACCTTTCGGAATTTCTTTTACGAATTTCCGCGCGGATCGGACATTTTATTCTTCGTGCTTGATAGGAGAATCGGGCGAAATTTTATTCGGATGACGGATAAACGATAAATACCGCTAACGAATACGATTTCGTTCCAACACTATCGGATAAATACGCGATCTGATAAAAATTTATCTCGGTAGAAATTTATCCGAATAGGAATCCATTCGAATAAGAATTTATTCGCGCGGCAATCGACGTGGAAAAGAATTGATTTGAATAGAAACGATAGAACACGTAAAGTGCTTTTTTCTCCACGGTTTATCGATTTATTTCGTCCGCGTCACTTTTTCGAATTATTCGACTAAACAGATGGAATAATTAACGACGAATAAACGGATTGTCCGAATGAAATGCTCGACCGAAGCGAATTCGCTCGGATATTTATTAGCCGGCCGGAATTTCGCAGAAGTTATGACCGCGAAAGCCAGCGAAGTTCTTTCGAGCGTGTTGTCGTGTCGTGTCCGGCTCGTGAAAATTACCGAGAAAAGAAATAAACGCCCTTTAACCCTTTCTTTAAGAGCGCCGTCTATAGTCGGCGGCCGCGATGACGATCTTCGTATCGAGTGCTGACCACCTGCGCCGACTTTCGCCGGTTAATATTCATACAATATACTCATTTTCATGTTTTTCATATAATACGACGAAACAGTTGTTATACAGGGGTCTCGAAAATGTCTCGCAATCCAGAAATGGGAGGTTCCTGAGGTCATTCGAAGCAACTTTTTCCTTTGCGAAAATTTTCTCCGAGACTTCGTTCACGAGTTATTTACGAAAAACACTGACCAATAAGAGGCGAGCTCGGCTGGCGCGCGGCGGCCCAGCCAACGAGTGCACGGAGCCCAGTTCCGCCCATTGGCTCGGCCGCCTCGCGCCAAATGATCTCGCCTCTGATTGGTCACTGTTTTTCGTCAATAACTCGTAAACGAAGCTGCGGATCGCATTTTCGCTAAGGAAAAAGTTGCTTCAAATGGTCTCGGGAATCCCCTACTTTCGGATTGCGTGACATTTTCGGGATATCCTGTATAGTTCTTAAAAAAGCGAACATACAAGACAATCACAAAGTGGCGTTGAAAGACGTTAAGCCCGAACATCGAAGACTACCGACGCGCAAAGTGCACGCTTCGCGGCGCGGCGCCCTGCTCATTGACGTCACTCCAGCGGAGCGGGCTGCCGTAAGGAAAGGGTTAAGCGTCCGTTAAAGGCTTTCGCGATCAATGGTCAAGATTCATATCCGGCAGAAAGAACGATCCGCAGTCTCGATTTCTCGCAGCGAAAGATTCAACCGGATCTAACGTCTCCGCGAGAAAGAAATCGCCTTCTTCGACATCTACGCGACAAACGCTTCGCGTAGAACTGTCCCTAATTTTGTAAACAGTTTCAGAAAATAGTAAACTATCGTCGTCGGATCCGAAGGCTCTCTGATAATCGCGACTCGGTTCACCGTTCTCCGGCGACGCCGACAGCCGGTAGCCTTCGGAACGGACATACGCGCGACGGAGATCCGTCGGGAACGGGCGTCGAAAGTTTCGCGAGTGCGGTGGACTCGGGACGAAAGGGGAAAGGGTGAAAGGTTGGGTGAAAACTTACGGGAAATTTTCTTTCCGTTCTTCCTCCAGTGGATCTGGGGCGGCGGCGTTCCCTCCGCCGTGCAGTAGAAATTCGCGATGCCTCCCGCCTTCACCTGCTGCGATTGCGGCCTCAACAGGATCATCGGTGGATCTGCGAGCACAAGATCAAGGGAAACCTTTGATTAGAGTCGAGTCGTCCCTTCGGGCCCCTCCGACGGCCGCCGTTCCTCCTCCGAGCCCGGGAGCTAATAAACTGGAGAGATTCCACGAGTATACACGTATATATCGGGAAACTCGCTCAAGCTCTGGCTCTCTCTCTCCTCTCTCTCTCTTTCTCTCTGTCACTCTCCTGCTCTCTCAGCCACCATAAACAAATTACGAGAACCACCTGACGGTATTCGAGGCCGGACGAAGGCAAAGAGAGATCGCAGTTTCCCTCGATTCGACGTCGTTTCCGCTTCGACATGTCGACGGGGAGAAAAAAAGGGAACGACGATCGGTTCAAAATGTAGAACGAAAATCGGAAAAATTCTGTTCGTAGATTCGATGCGATCCCGTGAACTCGATAAACGAGAGTGCCTGTCGCCGGAAAGCGACAGCTCCGCTCTCGAATCGGTCGGATAGCGTGACCGGCGTGTCCGACTATGGCCGTTCTCCTCTGATTACTTATGTCGGACCAGCGCTCGATACACATCGCTTTTCCGTCCTCCCGCGAATTATTACGGCGCGCGTATTAGCCCGACACAATTCGGCCGGAAAGTGGAACAGTGGGTGTCTCGAGATAACCGACTTAAAAAGTCCGCAAGCGCCTCGCCGCCTCGCGTGCACTTCTCCTTTCGAGCAACGGCGTTAAGCGGGCCATGGTCAGACACGTTATCACCCTGGAAATCAACGAGCGGCGGCCTCTTTCGCCGCTCGGCCACGGTTCCCAGCCGCTTCTCGTGCACAAAATACAATTATACACTCCCCTTTTTTCCCGTCGCGGCGTCGTCGATGCCGCGTGCCAGAAAATTTCGGGCCGCGAGTCGAGTCGAGTCGAGTCGCGCGCTCGAACGTTCATTCGATATTCTATATGTATGTATATGTATACATTCGGCCGAGAGGGAGCGCGCGGTTAATATTCGATTTACGGTCGATGCCCCGAAATTCGGAGGGTAATTAACATCCGTCGTTGTAGTCGGCGCGAGGGAAGTGCCCCGGCGTTTCGGCAGAGGCTTCGGGTTCATTGGTCCAAGTTATACCCCGGTGTCCTGCAAACCGTCAAATAATCGCGCCTTTGTGCGAGTAACGCAATAAATACCGGCTCTCTGCTCGCCCGCCGCCGGTTCTGACAAGCTTATTAGCGCGTAACGACGACGTAATGATATTGCCCGACCGGGTGTTCGCGCGGCCCCTGTTTGCCAACGCCGCGATTCGGCGGCGGGTCTCGCGCGAACGGTTTTCGCAGAGATCGGGGCGGCCTCGCTCCTCTTCGAATAAAGAGGAACCCCTTCTCTTGGGATACAAGATGAACGCGGGTTTCCTCCGTGGTCGTGGTCTCCACGACGTGGTCGTCGATTCGCCGAAAACAGAAGGCGCGGGGACCAAGGGCCGTGTGCTATCTGGAGCGAGACTGCCGGCCAAGCACTAAATTGGTCTCGAAACTTTGCGATCGTACGGATCGTTTATGGCTACTCTTCCATGGACCATCGATTCGTAGGGGATACGGTCTCGGTTTTTCGGCCGTTAGACTGCCACCGACCATCGAATCGAAAACAAATTTTATCCGCGCTCGCGTTCCACCGGCAAGGAGATCGAGCGGAACGATCCCGCCGCCGGGGCGGGGCCGGTCCTTTCCTTGTCCAAAAAAAAAAAAAAAACGCACGCCGCTCTCGCAGGGATCGATGCCCGCCCCCGGCGCGTTTCGACGCGCGATCGAACATCGAAATGAACGTGTGCCTATCGCGAAATAGAAGATTACAGCGTGACCCCGGCGCCCCGGTATACATCGAAAGGGCACGAACCGGGCCGGCGCGCGCGCGTGTTGCGCGACTCGAAAATTCGTGCGGCCGCGTACGCGATTCGCGAAAAGCGCTAATCTATCGGCCGCGCGCGAAAACTGCTGCTGTGCAGCGGGGACACACGGCCGAAACGCAATTTAAGGTAAATATTATTCCACCGGCGAACCGTCGATAATTTTTGATCGAATCGCTCGTTCGAGATTATTGCTATCCGGCCGGGTCGCATTGTGGCAGGGCGCTCTCGCGCTCGCGCGCGCGCGCCCACGCACGCACGCACGCACGCGAGCGCGACGATTATCATATCGAAATAGTTCGTAACAGGTGCATTAATCGAGCTCGCCCGGATCCGGGCTGCACAGCCGACCCCCCACCTCCCCCCTCGGTCATTCGTTTTTCGAATATATTCCTGTGCACACTGATTCTCGCGGTTCGATTCTACGATTTCGGACCCTTTTGATGTTACGCGGACGGCTAACGGGCGCGGGGGAGGGGGGCCCTCGAACTCTTCCTTTTTCGGATTTAGCCTGCGAAAGTCTGTTTTTTTTTTTCTTCAAATGTTCTCCGTTATTCGAGTATTTTAGTGCCTTGTAATTATATATAGCGGCGCACGCGTTGTCGTTCGAATTTATATTGATTTGTATTAATTTATGAGATAAAATAACGTTGTAAAGCGGGGTGTGCTGACGCGAGATTAGTCCGAGCTCGACGATTTCCGTCGTTGAACGTGTTTTGCAGGACAGTTTAGTGTTTGTCGAATGTTTCCTCCGTTTCTGACATTTCGGAGGAGCATTATGTTTTATTCGTTTGTTTTTTGTCTCCATTGCTTGGCAGTATTTTCTCTTCTTTGTTGGCTTTGTGGGTTTTGTTTTTCTTGTTCTTAGTGCTTTTAATGTGTGGCAACGGGAACTTGGAAATATCATAAATAAATCCAATTTTTAATTTTTTGGTTTGCGAGTTCGAAGAGACACCTCCCCCCCCCCCCACTAACAGTTCTAGAGAGAGGGAAACTCTTTGAAATTGTTGAAGCTATGCAGATTTTTTTTAAAGATACGATCGCATGAATTTCTTTGTTCGAGCATGTTGTTACAATAAGAATGACGAAAAGTTTAAATAAATGCTACCTCTTCAACGTTATAAAGCTTGGTTTAGCTAGCTTTAGTGTTATTAATGACACACAATTCTCTATTTAGCGAGCAGTATGAACCACGGTCGAATTGATTAATTCGTTATACATTAACCCTCGAATTGCGATTACCGGGACATTTTAACGAAGCGTGTTTAAATTATCGCGTAATTATTCCATTTTTGGCAAGTGAATTAAATTGCTGTTACACTAGAAACGACAGGAAGACTAATGCAATAATTTCTCCCGGAAATGCCAAAATTCGGGTTACTGTGAATTTCGTGAAATGGGACCTTCGAATTGCATTCGAATTGTATTCGAATTGTCTTCGAATTCTCTTCGACTTGTATTCGAATTGTCTTCGAATTGTATTCGAATTGCCTTCGACTTGTATTCGAATTGTCTCCGAATTGCCTTCGACTTGTATTCGAATTGTATTCGAATTGTCTTCGACTTGTATTCGAATTGCCTTCGAATAGTGGCACGTGGCCTCCGAATTACCTTCGAATAGTGGCAAAAATTTAAAAATAAAACGATTAAGTCCTAGTTTTTATTCTTGCATTACTATATATTCATACTAAACCTTTGCACACGAAACCATTTCAACTGCAAACCTAAAATAATTTTTCTCACTTTCAATATTTCCATTTTATACGACAAAGTGCATTTTATGCATACGAAATTGTGTCTCATGATTGATACAACAATTAGACTTTAAATAACCTTTAAAATCGAAACTTCGATGATATAAAAATGATCTTACAACATAACATAACAATTTTAGCGATGCCTCAAAGTCACCATTCGAGTGCAAAGTGTTAATACTGGCATGCAGGCCGCTGTCATTTTTTAACAACAGCCCCGAGTTCCTACAAAAACGAACCGCCAGGCTCGAAGAATCGTGACTTAGCACGACTTAGTATTCTCAGATCTGCGTGTTTCGATTCCGACTCCGAAACATTTCTGGGAGAAATTACTGTACAGGTCCACGTCGAAAAATCATCAAAAATATGTTTCTCGAAGAATCGATGCACAAGGACAAAAATCGTTATCAAAATTCTAAATTGCACTGTTCTGAAAATGATCCGCGCATTCAACGATTAATGGATTGCTCTCGTAGAAGAGCAATAAACAAAATATAGATATAAATATAAGCTATAAATAAATACAAGATATCAGATACAATAAATAACAAAGAAACGAATAAAGCGAAGATTGCGCGGACCCGCCGCGCCGTCGGAAATTTCGAGCGGGGCCGAGCGGGGCCTGCTGCTGGGGCCCGAATCTCTCTAAAAAATCACCATCACGGGTGTAAGGGCATGGAAGGCCCTTCTTGGCGAGCGATTCGAGGGGCAGATCCGGTGGCTCGCGCGGAATTTCTCTGGCGAGGTGCATCTACTACGGCGGCCTGCGGACGTGTGCGTTTATTTAGAACGGGGCTGGTGCGCGCCGCATCAGAAGCACCTGCCGCGCCACGGCTGCCCAATGATAATTTATGATCGAATATTAAAGGGTCGGCCGATAAACAGCCGCGGGCTCGAAACCCTGCCTCTAAATCCTGGCTCGAGGGCTTTTCTTGCCGCCGCCGCCGCGCGGAGAGCCCCGGACCGGGTTTACGTAATTGGAGCCGGCCAATATTTCCTCTTTGGCCGAAGGATATTGCTATGGATCCTCGAACATGTCCCGCAATCGGCGGAGTCGCCTCAGACGACGATTCCGTGCCAGCTCGAACCGTCCTTCGTGTGTACACAGCGTCACCCGACCTCGATTAGGCCACTGGATGGAGCCGGTTACTGTGACGTGGCCGATTCCCCTGACTTTTTTTTCTTAGTATTATAATTAATGCTAGATTCACGGAGCAGTTAATTTGTAAAAGTAACAATAAGACATTTATTCTGATTTTTAACAGGCGTTATTGTAACATTCGCTGTAAGTAGCATATAAATTGAATGGATAATTCGTAAATGTAGCTTTACGATATGAATAATTGTGAATTAAAAAATTAGTGACCAGTTATTTTGACGAGTT